CTTCTCTTCTCTTCTCTTCTCTTCTCTTCTCTTCTCGTTTCGTCGCCGGTGCCTTCCCTGCTGTTCAGAGAACCCCCACCCGTCTCCTCCTCCTCCTCCTTCTCCTCCCCTCTTCCATCGCTTCTTCCCTTCTTTCCCCACTTTGCCCTTCCGTCCGTCCACCCGTCCGTTCGTTCGTCTGTCCTCCCTCGGCCTCCCTCCCTCCCTCCCTCCCTGCCTGCTGCCTGCCGCCTGCCTGCTCTTCTCTTCTCTTCTATGGTCCTCCATTTTGTCGTGATTCCTCTAGCTCCAAGCGTATATCGCACATTTTGCTCGCACGGTGCTATTGACTTTTACGTAGGAATCGTGCGCGAAAGTGTGCCTATGTTTGACATACTGCCGATCCGCACAAACCGAGAGCCCGACTATGGGACTCCACCATAGGCTGCCTTGGAAGGTGTCACTCTCTTTTTCTTTTTTTCTTTCTCTTTATCTTTTTTCCTCTTTTATTCTGTCACTCACTCACACAAACAAATCTATCCATCTATCTGGTGTCTATCTTTCTTTCATTTTCCCTCCCGCTTATTGTTTTTTTCTCTCTTCATCTCCATCACATTTGGTCTCTCCAGTTGGTGGTGTCTCTGTCGCACTTACTCGCTCGCTCGCTCCCCTTCTGTCCAGTGCGCGTGTTCTTTCTCTCTCGCACAATGTCGTTCCTTTACTCCCTCCTCTTTTTCTGCATGATTCTGTCCTTCCAGGTTTATTCCCCTCGGTAAATTGTGTCTTTTAACAACATGCGAATTGCGTTGGCCGCTGTAGACAGTAAGCAGCACGGCAGTGCCAACTACAACACCAAGTGTAACTTTCTTTAGTAATACTATTATTTTTCTTCCCTCTACGACTATTCTACGCTTGCATTTGATCATCGTCATCGTCATCGTCGTCGTCGTCGTCTCTGTTCCGGTCGCCGTACCGTTCGTTCCTTTCTTCCTTCCTTCCTTCATTCCTTCATTCATTCATCCAGTCATTCATTAATTCATTCATTCATTCATTTATTCGTTCCTGATTCCTTCATTCCTTCATTCATTCTTTTTTTCCTTATTTCAGTTTGACGTTAATTTTTGTTCCCGTAATGTCAGACTTTTCCGCATCTTTTACATGATGCAGTGGTGAAACTCGATCAGACACTAGTGCCCTGTTGCTAATCTTCTTTTTATTACATTCCTTGCGTCATCGTTTTGCCGAATTTCTCCGTCCGATTAGTTGGTTCGTGTTATCGTATATATTTACATGTATATATATATATATATATTTTTTTTTTATAAATTATCTTAAATTTTGATCATCAAAAGAAATAGACTATGATTAATATTCTTTGTCTTATTTCAGATGTCTGCTGGGTCACAAATTCAGATGGCACCCCAATCAACCGTAAACTCTGGTCAGTCGGTTCATAGTCAAGACTCGAACATGAGTACCGGTATGTTTATACTTTCAAAGGATATAGAAAAAAGTGTCCTTTAAATCTGTAAACACAATGTATACTGGTTAATTTACTTCTTATTCAAACATATAGAAATATACAGTATTTTAAGACACCAGTATTCTTATATTGAACAGTAAAGACTAAATTTCACTTTGTACATACATTTTTTAATTCATTGTAGGCTCTTCGCATAGTGATAAGGAGGTAGATCCAAATACTCCAGAAAAAATACCAAGAACTCCTTCTGAAAGGAAAAGAAAGCGTAAAGCTGATGATGGTGGTGGAGGGGTTCCAGGAGGGCCGGTGGGTAGCAAAGGAACCAGGTCTGTCGCAGCTTTAGAGAACAAGAAAATCAACGAATATTTTTCAAAACACCATCTTGGTAATAGTCCCATTCGACACGGAGGAGCTAAAAGCCCTTCTCCGCAGCAGGGATATCCCATGGTAAGTACCCTTTTCTTCTACTACTTCTGTCAAAATAACATAAAGTTATGTTTAACTTAATCACATATTTCAAATTTTCATTTCAATAGTATCCTCCATCACCACAACCTTTTTCACCTCAAGTAACAACGCCTAACTCCTCGGTGGCAGAATTTTCGTCTTTGATGCAACCACCGAGGCCTCATCCGCAACCTCCAACTCTTCCACCACCGTCTTCGACGCAACCTGCAGGCTCTATGGTCAGCAAGCAGGTGCAGGTAAGGCCTACCAACCTCAGTAGGACAAGCCAGGTCAGGCAAGCGAAGACTAACACCCCAAATGTAAGCAAAATTCGGTAATACTTGCGAGCATTTTATAAGAAAAGCCCTATTTTATTTGTTCTTGCAATTCCTTTATATAACTGTATGTTTCTTACAGTGTTTTTCTAATTAATAATGTTGTTATTGATAAAACACTTTGTTAACATCTACTTAGGATTTTTCTGAGTGCTCTATTAAATATAGTACAAAGTATAAATATTTCAAATACACAAGAAATACTACATGATAGTAGTAGTTTCAAAGAGTAAAATGATTTTGCAATATTATCGTTATTGTACTATCATTGTATGTATCATTTATATTATCATATGTAAAAATGATATGTTATTATGAAAGGATATTTCTTGTAAAATGTTCGCAATAATTTGTACGAATTTGTAATCAGACTGTAGCACTGTATCCATTTGTTATCATACAAATGCAGGCTACCTTGTAATGTCGCTCGTTAAACCAACAACAAAAATTCTTATTTTGTATTTAATTGGTCAAAGGTATATCATATTTAAGAATAGTCATTTTTATAGTAAATCTTTTTCAAACAGGGGTGTATGTTTTTTATCTTGGCATTCCTGTACGTTTGTATTTCAATAGATCATTTAATTTTGATATGCTTCATTTTTTAACGGGTTTAAATTTCGGATATTATAACGAGAAAGAGAAAGAGAGAAGTCTACAATTAAATTTATACTTTTTTTGCGGAAATTAGAGTATTTGTCTACTATGTTTAATAAACGCATACATTTTAGGTGTTTTCCTTGCTGCCTGTAATTTTGTTTACATTAATATCCCCTTGAGTTTTGCTCTAAAATGATTTATTTTAAATGGATAAACTAACATTGATATTTCTTATATTTTATTTCGATCTGATTTTGCTAAAATAATTCCTTGAACTTAGCACTTCATTGATGAAAGAGTTTCTAACAATATAAACAAAAGAAATATAGTTCTTTTTTATTTTGTTACATGTATTTTACTTAATCTGGGTGCAGCAAGGTATCTGGTGTTTCTAATCAATGCTGACAAATGTATCAGATGTTACAGTTAATTATATTGCATTTACTATAAAATATGTCAATTATATATTCCAGACAGAACTAACTTGCCAGAGGATACAAGAATTTGAAACTCAAGCTTCTTCGGACTTAGAACTACGTAATAACAAAATTGACGAATTAAATAGAGTAAGTAGTAAAGTATTTGTAAAGTAAAGCGATATAAACACCAAAGATGATGGTTCTTCTTTTTTCCTCATTCTAATTATTCATTATTTCAATATTTCAACATAATATTATTTGTTTTTTTTTCTTATTATTATTTTTACAGACGACAGAAGAACTTAGGCATCAAATGGCTAATCAACAAAAACTTATTGAGCAGCACAAATCCCATATAAATAAGTGTATAGACGTTGTAAAGAAGTTATTAAAAGAAAAATCAAACATAGAAAAAAAGGAGGCTAGGCAAAAGTGTATGCAAAATAGACTGAGGTTGGGACAGTTTGTGACCCAGAGGGTAGGTGCAACGTTTCAAGAAAATTGGACGGATGGTTACGCATTTCAAGAATTAGCTCGAAGACAAGAAGAAATTGCAACTGAGCGGGAAGAAATTGATAGACAGAAGAAATTATTGCTCAAAAAGAGGCCGTCTAATAGTGAAACAAGTAGAAAACGTAGTCAGCCTCAACCTTCCTTGCATAATGGAACTGAAGCTACATTCTTAAAACCAGATGCTGTGCCTGGTTCTTATACGTGGCAAGAGTATTATGAAGCTGATGAAATACTCAAGGTATTCTAATTTATTTTCATTTATATTTTTTATTGCGTAAATAAACAATAATCAAATCAAATATACGTGATTAATTGTTATTCGCAGTTGCGGCAAAGTGCGTTGAAAAAAGAAGACGCTGATCTGCAACTAGAAATGGAGAAATTAGAAAGAGAACGAAATTTACACATCAGAGAGTTGAAGCGTATTCATAACGAGGACCAATCGCGATTCAATTCTCATCCTGTATTGAATGAACGTTACCTTTTACTAATGTTATTGGGAAAGGGTGGCTTCAGTGAAGTGCATAAGGTATTCAATATATTCTTTATACATATATATATATATATATATATCTTTTTGCTTAAGAATTTTCCTAATTAACTTTCTTCATTTTTGAAAACAGGCATTTGACTTAAAAGAGCAACGGTATGTTGCTTGTAAAGTGCATCAATTAAATAAAGACTGGAAAGAAGATAAAAAAGCTAATTACATAAAGTAAGTCAACAATTGAATAATATTCAAAACTAATATTTGAAATGATATTTTCATATACATATATAATTAATTGAATAAATTTGTAATTAAAACACAGGCACGCATTACGGGAATATAATATACATAAAGCTCTAGATCACCCTCGTGTTGTAAAATTGTATGATGTGTTTGAAATTGACGCCAATTCCTTTTGTACTGTCTTGGAGTATTGCGATGGACACGATTTAGATTTTTACCTCAAACAGGTATGTAATATTTTTTTGGTTTAAACTTAGTAGTTGTCATTTTTTAGTAAATGAGATTAAGCAAAATGATGTTTGTTTCTTTGGTAGCATAAAACTATACCAGAAAGGGAGGCAAGGTCGATCGTCATGCAAGTAGTATCGGCATTGAAGTACCTCAATGAAATTAAACCACCGGTCATACATTATGATCTAAAGCCAGGTATGTAGAAATTCAAATGATTTTATTATATAATATTTCAATATTTCAACAATATATTTTATGTTTTATCTTTTTGTTTATAGGTAATATATTACTCACAGAAGGTAATGTCTGTGGAGAAATAAAAATTACAGACTTTGGATTGAGTAAAGTTATGGATGAAGAAAATTACAATCCTGATCATGGTATGGACCTTACATCCCAAGGTGCTGGTACTTATTGGTATGTGATTATTTATCTTTATTATTTTCTTCTTGGTATTATTATATTTATTTAATATAAACTTTCTTAATTAGGTACCTCCCACCAGAATGTTTTGTCATTGGAAAAAACCCTCCTAAAATATCATCAAAAGTTGATGTATGGAGCGTGGGAGTTATATTCTACCAATGCCTTTATGGTAAAAAGGTACTTATGATTGATCATTTTTTTGAATAATATTATAAACTACTATTGAAATATTAATAATAAAACAAATTTGTATATTTCATTTAAACAGCCATTTGGACATAACCAATCGCAAGCTACAATTTTAGAAGAAAACACAATACTGAAGGCCACTGAAGTTCAGTTTGCGAATAAACCAACCGTTAGCAACGAAGCAAAGGTAAGAAGTATTTTATAAATAGAATAATACTTGAACTATTGTTTTTCTTGGTAGATAGGTGGTATTTCATTGGAATGATATTGTTTGACAGGGTTTCATAAGAAGCTGCCTAGCATATAGGAAAGAAGAACGTATAGATGTACTGACACTAGCTAGACATGAATACCTGCAACCTCCTGTGCCAAAACATGGCCGTCAAGCGAATAGTCAGCAACAACAGCAGCAACAACAGATTCAACAGCAGCAGCAGAGCTCCTTTACTATTGGCATGTTTAGTGGTATGAACGCGTCAAGCAGTTCGTAGTGGAAATGGACTAAAGACGAATATCTTCGATATGCTATTACATGCCAAATCTTGAGCACTGAACTGCGCACCATCTCATCTTAGGAAAATAACGATCGCTATAACCAATTGTAAATACTAAAACGGATACTATCATCATCACTACCACCACCTTCATCACCGTCATCACTACCATTTACCACTACCATCACTACTACTACCATCACTACTACTACCATCATTACTACCACCACCACCACCACCACCACCACCACCACTACTACCACCACAACCACCACCACCATACCGCCACAACTATACTTACAGGTCGTCTCATAGGACATTGCAAGAGAGATGCGAGACTGGTCGTCGCAAGTCCAGAAGCTTGCGTCTTTCTACAAGCCACGCTACATTATTCAGCATAACAAAAAAAAATGTTGTGTTCGTAAATATTCAATTGTATTATCGTTCCTTGTATCAAAACAGTGGGCTGACTTGATAATAGTGTTTAAAAAAAAATGAATGGAAGGAAACAGATAAACATGTGATAAGTTATTGTGAATTAACAAAAAGTGAAGTTTAAACTAAAGAGGAGAGTTTAATAAGCGAAAAAGGGTTATATAAAAGACGATGGAATTCAGTGGAAGTGATATATAATTACTTGGTGAAAAAGAGAAAATAGAAATGGGGAATAAGAGAAATAGGGGGCAACGAAAGATTCAAACAAAACAAAAAATAAATAATAATAATAATAATAATAATAATAATAATATTAATAATAATAATAATTAAAGAAAGAATGGAAATATGAGCAGCAAATCGCGTCGAAAAGAGTTTTAAAGAGACTTTGCTCTTGCGGAGACGTTCCTCTCTTCTGAAGTTAAGTATGCGTGAATGAATGTGATGAAAGATTGTTAAATCTAGCGTGCGTGTATATATTTATACTATATATATATATATATATATATATATATATACTAATAAATCCGATATAATATATATATATGGTGTAAAGAAAAAAAAAAAAGGACAGCATTGACAGTGGGAAGACAACTGTGGTGGCTCTATCCTCGCATGACCTCCGTGCAGCTAAGTATTCCATGAATACTTGACTACACACATCTCATGTTACTTTATTCAAATATTAACATTATTACTTATATCATGACTAATAACAATTAACATACATAAACACGAGGAGATTTGGTTGGTTGTTCCTATTCTGAAACGAGTGGGCTTTACCTATACTGGAACGATTAGTTTGAGAATCGAAAGGAAAGAGTGGCGATGATTCCCAAAGTATAACAAACAAACAAACAAAAAAAGAACAACAAGAAAACAAATCCTATAGGATCACGGTCCACCACTTGCACCCCCAACCCTTCTCCCTTTCCACTTTCCGCTCATAAGTATATTACATATTTTAAATTCGATGAATTTTGTAAACTCGCGGTTAAAAAAAAAAAGAAAGAAAAAAGAAAACAGAAAGAAACGCGTTTTTCCTTTCTATTCGTGGACACACGCATCTTCTCTCTCGAAATAATTAAGTAAATAAATAAATAAATAAATAAATAAGTAAAATAAATAAAATAAATAAATTATTGCGGCCATTTTTCCGTGCTAAAGAAAAAAAAAATCAATTCGTATTTATCGGGCATTAAAGAAAATGAAGAAAAAAACAATTAATAATAATAATAATAATAATAATAATAATAATAATAATAATAATAAAAATTTGTAAGGTAAGAATCGTAATATTATACCGACCTGATCATTATTTCTTTACTCATAATTTGTTTTATATATGTACGTTATATAGAGATAATTATGAAATAGAAGACTAAGTTATTTTATCAAGTGCCCTTGCTTTGTATTATAGTCGTGTCTGTCGACAAACTGCAGCTTTGGGGAGTAATAGAAAAGAAGTTGTTAAAAAAAATGTTGTGTAAGTTGTTGGTACAATGTGGGCACGGTATTGAATATGAATACCAATACCAACGTGATTGGCAAAATGTGGTCAGAGGAGAATACATTACAAGTCTGAACAGAGTCTGCTACTAGATCCATCGCTTAATATTTTAAAAGCCAATCAATCAACCGTTCCGCTTTCCTTTCTCCCGAACTTCTTCAAATAATTGATCCCCGTTATTATTAAAGAAACAAAAAGACGCATATTTCTTATAAATTTGTTTTTCTTTCAAACGTGCCACCTTTTAAAAATGGCTTTTCGTTAAAAACTAAATTGTTACATATGAAATTGATCCATTTGATTAGGTAAATCTAATCAATACTTATTTTTAATCATTATTTATTATGTACTGCTAATGACATCATTTGAAAAAAATGTATACATTATTAATGAACTTCTTATTACGGATTTAATAATAAAAGCAGCAAGTATCAAAATTAAATAATGATAAAAACAATGCATTCGTCGTAAATATTAAATGGTGTATTATATATTTATTTATTTCTTCTCTTTAATTCGAATGCATGTGAAAACTATTTCGAAGAGAAGCCTTTTTTAAGAGATGGCAAAAATATTCGCTTTTTTATTTTCTTTTACGAATCAAACTAAGCAAGTGGAAATTCCTAAATTATTCTTAAAATAAAAGAAAGAAATAAAAGAAAATAAAAAGAAGTCAAAGATCGTTAGGAAACATTGAGTTTTATAAATTTGATCCCTGGTGTACAACTTGTATCGATAAACGAAGATTTAAAGATAAGCGACTTACTTTACACATCTTTTACAAAAATCACATTTAACGCATTTACTCGAATCAATAATATCAGAGATAGCGTTAACATTTTATGCGGAGTGAACAATTTTGCATTTGTAAATAATGAAGAATTTTAAGAAAAAAGATTTAAAAAAAAAAAGAACTCGACGGATAGAAAATAAATAAATTAATAAATGACGCGTGCATCCGTGTAATGGAGAAAATTATTATATAAAAACAAACTAAAAAAAAAAAAAAAAGTTAATGATAAAAGATCCAAAACGTTTCTCTTTTTTTTTTTTACTGATAATTTCAAATATTCACACACTCACACAAAAACGTATTAGCAGCGAATATATGAAAAATCTTTCTTTTTTGTTGTTTCACGTGGAGTGAACTACAAAATCTTAGTATTAATTTTCTTAGAACAAAATTAATATATTGTAATTCGAGTACAATCTGGTAAAGTATTATTATTATTATTATTATCATCATCATCGTGATCATCTTCATCATCATCATCACCACCGCCACCACCATCATCATTATCATCATCATCGTCATAGTCATCGTCATCGTCATCGTCATCATTGTAAACGAAACACGACAGAGACAGCCATCGTCGCAATTTAAATAACATCGGATATTTTTTATCGCCCTTACGTGTTAATATAAAATAGTCATGATCTTTCTCATAATTATCAACAGGAATTGTGTCGAGGATGGTGTATGAAACGTTATAGCAATAAAATTACGTATTTGTGTATAATTTAAAGTTAGTAAACTTATTGATTACGTACAATACTTGTATATCAGAATATATATATTTATATATATATATATACACCCCATTTTAACGATAAAAAGAAAAAGAGAAAACCATACACCTCATATATATATATATATTTTTTTTTAAATATCGGTATTAATTTTAAAAGAAAGTTAAATTATTATTATTATTTCTTAATAGATAATTAAATGATATTTATTACTTTAAATTTAATAATTAGAAATAATTGCATACTATTTATTTATCGTCTATATATTTCAAATCTCTATTTATCTTATTCTTATTAAGAATTCTTTAATTTTTCAATTCATATACCTCGATGTTAAGAAAAATTTGATACAAAGAAATTATTTTCAGCAATAAAAAGACATTTTATATAATAATGTGGTATAACTCAACGAGATATGGAAGAATAAAGGCTGGTTCATCCGATAATTGGAAGATTCTATATACAAGTAGGTAATGACAATATCATTTTTTAAAAATAATACAAATTTTTTTAACAAATTAAAATTTTTTTTTTTTTTTTTTACTATAGCAATTTTGTGTGTCAACACGTGACGAAAATAATAAAGATGAAAGTATATATATATAAAAATGATCATATATTTTATTACATATAATGGCGCCATTAATAATATAATTTATGTATATGAGTAATATCTTATTCAATTAAGTGTCATGTGTGTAAGAAGAGATCAGTTCATAAAATAATTTCTTATTATTTTCTTCAAGAATAATAAAAATTACAAAATGTCAATAATGAAAAATAAATGATTCATCATTATCTATTTAGTTTTGTTGTTCTATATCGTAAATAAATATTACATACATATGCATAATGAGTTGTGCGCCGTGTTTCTTTTATTTTAATTTGATATTAAATCTAGAGTTTTTAATTATCTATGTGTGAGTGTGTGTCCTCTTCTACACAACAAGTTAGAGTATACCATTTTTCTTGATCTAAGCTTAATCAAATAGATAAAAGTGTAAAATCATTATAAAATGACTTTAAACCTGTTGTTCTTTCTTTGTCTTACTTTTATTCTATTCTCAAATCAAATAATAGTTATAATTATAATAATAATTGCCACTGTGTTTTTCTATTAGACACTGTTTCTTTCTTTTCGACGATGTAAGAAACCATAAAAATACTAAAAAACTTTGCCTTTCCACGCTAATTCAGATATCATCTATTCTCTTCTTATTTCTTTCTCTCTCTCTCTCACCTTATTAATTTTTATAGGCAGTCTTCGTAATTTACAGTTTTGTTTTGACAAATTTATACCGCATTAATAAAAATTTAGTCGGAATCACTTTCATCGTCTGATTTAAGTGCATAAGAAACTGGTTTACGATTACGTGCACTGTTCTTTCTTGGCTGTACTACAGGCGATGTTTCAGAGAGATTGTCACTTTCAGAGTCTGATTTCTTCCTTCGTTTTTTCTATAAAAATAATATTGAAACAACATTTTTTTAATTATTTTTTTTTTTTAATACCATTCAATAAT